TGTATATAATGTTCGTGGTCTTTTTTGTAGTATTTGGTAATTATTATCTGTGCAGTTTGTGCGAAGTCAAATTTTGAACTTTTGTGTTACTACTGAACAAGCTACATTTAGCTTTTTTTTTCTAGTTGTCTCTCCTGAAATCAATAAACCCAACTGAATATTAAGTCAAATAAAAACTAAACAACGAAATTAATAAAAAATGTGACGGATTTATTATTATACATATTTATTTTAATATCGATGTCTGTTTATATTAAATTAATATTTAGAAATTCACATAACTTATACAGTTAAATATATATTGCGATACTCCCGCCTATTCTCTAAAGTTGTAGAAGATTTTCGAGTGTAAGAATCAACAATATATGTGTATATGTGAACGCTAGTGTTAGCGTCAGTATTGTTACGTAAAACTGAAATTTAGAGAAACTCTCCACACGCCTATAAATATAACCAACGTGATGCGCCAAGAAAGCAGCATCTGTTATTGGTTTGCCATAGTTGGTGCGCTATAAATTTCGGAAGCTATAACTATGATTGTTATAACGCTTATTAATCGGGAACTTATGATATTTGACCAGGAACGTTTATAAGTTTCGAACATTACACACCATTTAACTTCAGTGGATTCACATCGAACATTAGTACTTTTACGAAAATATTACCTAACGTCATCGGTGGAAGTACGACCTGTAATCGGCGTGTGATCAGAGAGAACTACAGGGCTAGCTAGCTCACTGTTAAGTGAATTATACCTACGCTCATCGTCAACCCTCGATAAGATATCAAGGAAGTTCCAGACTAGAAAGAAGACTTTATATTGCTTGTAACTTTGTAATAACTGTTATTGTAAATTGTATTGTTGTTTGTATATTAAAACATATTTATATTAAAAAAAACTGTGTGTATCAGTCTTGTTGGGAAATATCATAAATCAGAGATATATCGGCAAATATTTAACTACTGAATCTAAATTACAAATTAACTCAGTTTTAGTCTATTAGAAATTGTCATACTTAACAAGAAAAAACAAGACAGAATAAAAGAAATCAGTTGATGTAATCAAAAAGGTTGAGTAGCAACTAAATTATATACTTATCAACATCTTCAACCAATATCTCTTGTTGGATGTGGTTTGCAGTCAGGAGGTGCTTTATCTGGTGGAAACGCTCAGGAGGAATCATGACGTCAACAGGTCGACTGACAGAAGAAGGTGGTAACCAGAAGTCAAGCTTAGGGAAAAAAGTGTAGTGAGGGAAATCTGATTAGCGAGTAGTAGCACTGGTAATTAAATCCCTAGAATTTGATATTAATGCTCCCCACCTCCCACTTAATTGACATAACATGGTAGATTATTTATGTCAAGACTAATATTATATATTTTGTTTTAAATCTAAAATATATTTTTTTACCTACACAAGTTCAAGCTTATATCTAACCTTTTAAACCAAGAGCAAATACTTATTTAGTATTTTAAACACTGGTTTAAAATAAATTCTGTCTCCAAACGGTTATAACAGCTTGTGATACGTCGCTTGGCTAATACGAAATTTCATCATACTTCCAGAAGAGTAAGAAAAGCGATATGTTTGTAAAACAGTGAATACACTAATGTAATCTAGGCAACAAGACAGATTGGATAGGGGAGATAATACGAAATAACATGTTAAAATGTATCAGTTTTTATATGTAAAATTCTCTCAAAGAAGTGATTACTTTGTGTTGTATAGCAGGTTTCATGAAATGGAAATGGTCTACTTACTCGAATTTTCCACATAAATAATCTAAATATTTAGACAAATACGTAGCCGCATTTGTTATCAACTTACGTGAAGATTTTAATTACCATGGTTATTATTATACACAAATCATAATGAATTGTGTGGAAACTTAATATTGTGTCTCTAGACTGGCGTTCATGTCAGAGTAAGATAAAATATATCTTGTATATAATTATTCTCAACATGGTGATGTAATGCTTATAGCAGAGTCTTATCGTTAGCTAATCGTTTTCGCCACAATGATGTAGTGCTCGTAGCAAACAGTCTTACCGTTAGATAATCATTCTCGCCACAATGATATTATGCTTGTAGCAGTCTTACCGTTAGATAATCATTCTCGCCACAATGATATTATGCTTGTAGCAGTCTTACAGTTAGATAATCATTCTCGCAACAATATGTTATGCTTGTAGAAGAGTCTTACCTTTAGATAATAGTTCTCGCCACAGTGATATTATACCTGTAGCAGTCTTACCGTTAGATAATCGTTTTCGTCATAATGATGTAGTACTTGCAGCAGTCTTACCATTAGATAATGGTTCTCGCAACAATGATGTTATGCTTGTAGAAGAGTCTTACCGTTAGGTAATCGTTCTCGCCATAATGATGTTATGTTTGTAACAGAGTTACCGTTAGATAATCATTCTAGCCATAATGATGTTATGTTTGTAGCAGAGTCTTACCGTTAGATAATGGTTTCCAACATGATGGTGTTATGCTTGTAGCAGAGTCTTACCGTTAGATAATAGTTTCCACCATAATGGTGTTATGCTTGTAGCAGAGTCTTACCGTTAGATAATACTTTCCACCATAATGATGTTATGCTTGTAGCAGAGTCTTACCGTTAGATAATCGTTTCCACCATAATAGTGTTATGCTTGTAGCAGAGTCTTACCGTTAGATAATCGTTTTCGCCATAATAATGTAGTGCTTGTAACAGTCTTACCATTATATTATGATTCTCGCAACAATGATGTTATGCTTGTAACAGAGTATTACCTTTAAATAATCGTTCTCGCCATAATGATGTTGTGTTTGTTGTAGTCTCACCGTCAGATAATCGTTTTCGCAACAATGATGTTATGCTTGTAACAGGGTCTTACCGTTAGATAATCGTTCCCGCCATACTGATGTTATGCTTGTAGCAGAGTCTCACCGTTAGATAATCGTTTTCGCAACAATGATGTAATGCTTGTAACAGGGTCTTACCGTTAGATAATCGTTCCCGCCATTCTGATGTAATGCTTGTAGCAGAGTCTCACCGTTAAATATTTAGATAATCATTTTTGCAACAATGATGTAATGTTTGAAGCTAGGTATTATTGCTATTCTCGGTATTCCAGAGTCATGATTCTAATAGTAATAACTCATATATATGACTGTAGCATGTTCTTACCTCAGAGTTCTCACTCTCAGCTAGGTCGTGTAGTAGTCGTAGCTGTTCACTATTAGAAGGGTAGAGTCTCAAGACCTTGTAGCTGTTGTGACCCAAAAAACATGAAGAAATTAATACTTAAACTAACGTTTGTTAAAATGTTTAAAAATCGCCTTTGATTTACATAACGAATGCTTGTTTGTTTTGAATTTCGTGCAAAGCTACACGAGGGCTATCTGCGCTAGCCGTCCCTAATTTAGCAGTGTAAGACTAGAGGGAAGGCAGCTAGTCATCACCACCCACCGCCAACTCTTGGGCTACTCTTTTACTAACGAATAGTGGGATTGATCGTCACATTATAACGCCCCCACGGCTGAAAGGGCGAGCATGTTTGGAGTGACGGGGATTCGAACCCGCAACCCTCAGATTGCGAATCGAGCGCCCTAACCACCTGGCCATGCCGGGCCATAACGAATGTAAAGCGTATAAACGAAATTCTTGACATATCCAAGTTCGTGGGAAATCCATGGTTTATAGAAAGATATGTACCAAACATTAGAATCAAATTCATTTTACCGAAATAATTTATTATGACTAATGTAATAAAAATGAAGGAGATGTGTTGATAGGACGTTAACCGTATGTGTATCGTTCGTACTACAATTTTATGACTTGTCAGAGAATATTACGATGAAGACACAAATATAAAAACGGGCGCGATGAAGAAACACAAAATCTCAAAGACGTGATGAAGAAACGAAATCTTAAAGACGTTATGAAAGACGTAAAACTTGCAATCAGGCACGTTGAATAAATATGAAGCTCACGCCAGGAGTGCTAGAGAAACGACAGAAAAGAAAAACAGTGTGGGGAGTACGTTAAAAGAAAATGAAGCATAGGCCATCAGACTATTTCCGTAAAACAAATTACACGATTTATCTAGGCCCTATTTGGGAGCACTGTAATTGTGTTTTATTTCTTAAAAAGTATAATAAAAATTCAAAGTACAGTTCAAGAACGTGACTGATTTGAATAACTTGCTCTTTTTAGCACATGGCATATACAAACAGGAAGGAGCTATGTTTTATCATACTAAGTAAAATGTGGCAGTACTAACCCACGGTAGTATCTTTTCTCATGAGACCTGTGTCTGTACAGGTCGAGTGCATCCGAAAAGAAGTAGAGTCCCAGAAGGACTAGAAGAGAAAGCACGATTTTCATGTTCGGGCTACACATCTACTGGAACGATTGAGACTAGCTGCAGCCTAACCTAAATATATAACTGATGATATTTATGAGCAAGTAGTCCAGATGATATTTTTCCCAGATATCTCATTGATAAGGGTTTGTGACATCTAGATAACGTAAGCCTCGCATCTGCACGCTGTTCGCTATCCTAAAATTATAAAGAAACAAGGCTAAATCCAACATCTGTGTTGATGCTAGATTGTTATCACGTTCATATCACACATGCATAGCTGTGAAGTATACAGCTACCTGCACAATTTTTTGTTAAAGAACTTGTTACCTGATCAAATATAATTTTCAATCTCTTTGTATAATATAGTGTTGTAAGCTATGTAATTTAATTTTCACGTTCAGATATTTGTTTGGCCAGAGGGAGATTTGACGCCATGTGATGAAGGTGTTGTTTAACATTCGGATATTTCACTAAAGTTTTAATATAGTGTAGATGTATGATTGTTTATTTAATATATTAATAAACTACATTGAGCGGAAGTAGTGAGTATTATTTGATGTGTTTGCCACTTAATTAGTTCAATGCTGTGATTATTGAACTTATATTTTGAAAAGGCTGGAAATTGAAAACTCACTTTGAAGCTGTAAATTACTACGATTACACACACACAAAAAAGAGAATAAAGAGTAATAATTAGTGAGTGCAATAGATAGGTACTAATGTCGACGTCACGTAAGCCGGACGTTCCCGGTGAACTGACCCTGGTGACAAGCCAATCATAACTGGAGATGTTGATGTTTGGTTTGCACAAAAGAATTTTGTACATCAGATATAAGATGCAAGAGTGATAATAGTTAAAAAGATGTTAAAACACTCTTCACAGATTGGAAAAATAAAATACAAAAACAAAAAGAGATGGTAATTAGAGGAAGTGATAATGTAAAGCGATATTTAGGAAATAATACTAATATAGAGAAATAGAAACATTGATAAAATATATGGATAATACAAATAATAAACAAATCAAATAAATACATTTAATTACAAAGTTGTTTTTTGATTTTTTTAGAAATAAACGAAGGTCAACAATCCCGGGATGGAGATTGGTGCCATTCGGCGTTGCAGTATTTAACAGTGCTATTCAATAAGCTTCATTAATTTGATTTCTTTGTTTCTGTTTGATGAACAATTTGTCTCTATACCTGTTAGTTTAATGTCTTCAAGAGATTGGTCAGGCGTCTTAAAGCGTTTTGCGAACGGAAGTTCTTTGTTTATTTTGATTGAAGATTTAACCTACATATTAAAAGTTACATTTTCGGTATTGGCTTAAGTAAGTAGCGTTTTATTTGTAAAGCATTTTATGGACTTAGTGATTTTAAATTGTCTTTTGTTGTCTTTAACAGAAAAGTTATCAGTCTTCTGCATGAACTTACAGGTTTGGCAACGTTTGCTATCGCAGGGATGGCTTCCACCAGGTAACGAATTAAAGTTAACTTTAGCATGAACTAACTGTGATTTCAAAGTTTCATTTTTCTGAAAGAAACAATAGGAACTTCAATAAAAAATTTATTTTAGTTTATCATTAAGTTGAAGAACGTAAAAATGTTTATTTTTTTTAGTATCCTGGGTAGGTTTTTAATTTTGAGTGATAGGTAATAATGATCAGTGGAACACTATAATAAATTGTTAGTTTTGTCAACTTACTGAATCACATTGTTCTGCTTATAACCTCATAGTCTGTTTTACGAATCTATGTGAATTCTTACTGTCAGGGCATATTTTCTTTAATTTAAATGCTTGTTGATAGTATTTGGTGTGTGGTGGGTAACAGCTTTGAAAATGTAAGTACTGTGATCTATCATTTGGTTTTCGGTACACATCAGTATGTAAAACACTATCTCTTAATGTTAGATTTAACATCAAAGAAACTTATTTGAGTAGTGGAGTAATCTAGAGTAAATTTAATAGAAGTGTGGAAGGAGTTTACATAACTATAGAAGGATAGTAAAGAATCTTCGTCTCCTACCCAAACGAAAATATATGATTTAGTCAACGTAGCGTCTTCAATAGCTTGGATTGTCTGTACAACTTTCCATCAGTCTCGTTTCTAAATCTCCAATAAAGATATTGGCATAGCTTGCCGCCATTTTGGTCCACATAGTTGTGCCTTTTGTTTGAATATAGAACTCATTACTAGATTCAAAATCGTTTCATCAGAGAAGATTCAAGACCTTTCAGGCCTTCGTCGTGAGGAATGCTTGTGTAAAGAGAAGAAACATTCATAGTGCAGAAAATAATGTTTGAAGGAAGTTTTATGCGGTGGCTGTGAATGTCAGATGTCATGTTCAGTAAATATATCGGGTCTTTAATGTATGATGTCAAATGTGGAAGGATATATTTGATGTGGTGATTAACGTAAGTAGATAAAATCTCAGTAGGCATAACGCAATTGGAAATAATAGGACGACCAGGATTTTTAGATTTGTGTATCTTTGATAACGTGTAAAAGCGACCTGGGTATTTAGGTGAAAGGAACTGTAAAGTAATGATGTGTTGGCTTTTCTGTAAGATACATAGTATATCTTCAAAAAAAATTAACAAATTGCAGGTGGGATCCAAACCTACCTATTTATAGTTTATCACGAAAACAAAAATACTGGGGGATTACAGGAGTATAACTTTTAGTATAAGCTTGAAAAGACGTCTATTCATACATCCCGATCATTACCTTTTTAGACCCTTCGAACGGGATTGAAAGATGAGTGATCTTAGCTTGACTTGTTCCCAATGAGGCTATGTTTCAAATGATGATTCAGTAGAGATAGTTATTAATTTGCATTATCATGATGAAATTGCTTAAGCTATTGCATGACGGCATGGGGAATATCTTGTAAATAAAGCTACTTAATTTGTCTGTCACATATTTCTAGTTAAAGATTTCTGAAAGCCTTTTAATATTTGTTGTACATCAACTTTAAACTTATAGTTTGTATACCAAAAGGTGGTGAAGTATTGGAAATCAATAGGCTGATATCCATGAAAAAAAAAAACATCTTAGACTGCAGATTAATTCTGCTACATTCTTCTTAACTAGTTCATCACTGCTTTTTTTTTATCAGAGGTGAACAAAAAATAATTTCAAGATTTTCTGTTGCCTAGCGCAAGTCACTGCCTTAAAGCCCTTTCTTTCAACTCGAAGTTTTTTTAATTTTGGCCGGAGTGAAAATAGTCAAAGTATACGTGATATGTTTTGATACCCGGCGCAGGATTATAAAAACAGTCGAGCTATCCTTCAATGTAGTGTTAAGTAATCTGGTAGCACTATAATTATTGGTTTCCAGTACAAATATGAATTGTAGCTACTAAAGCGTTAATTTCGCGAAATGATGTACCATTGTTTGTTCAGCTGAAAATATCTTATGCACACAACAGTTAAATAGCTAAGTTAGAAATCAACACACACTTTTATTCATAAACGTTCAATAAATGTACGCGATTATCATTTAAAATCAATCATTCTCCAAAGATATAAAAACACTTACATTGGATGAACCACTACAAATTGTCTACAATGGTATCGTTCGTTTTTAAGAGCCAAGACACTTAGGACCTCTAAAGTTCATCCCCTAAAGAAACACCACAAAACAAAACTATCTCTCCCAACTTCGCAGATAACCCTCAAATAACCTCTCTTCAGCTGCAATGTGCATGTCGTAGCTAATCTCCATTCAGGTCAGTAAATTGAAGTGGTCCTTCTTTTGTATGAAATATATGAAATCCACAAAGAAACCAAATAAAGATTGAGTATTATTTCAAACTAAAGACTTTACTACACAACTTCATACAGCAATACGTGGAATTTTATAAATATTAAGACCAAAAGGTAATAAACTAAAATTTTTAAACAATATAATGCTGACTAGAGAATAGTGCACGTTTCTTTTTAAATCAAACGACCAGCAACTCTTGGAGAACTTTGCATTTTATCCTTCTTCAGGAGCTCTACTCATAAAATGAAACGATTTAACAAAAAAATAGTAACAATTCAAAAACAAGAGAGTGAGCAATAAAGCTCACGTTATCACCCAGACTGGGAGATGGAGACAAAAGTTTGTAAGAAGTAAAAATATGTTCCAAAAGGGACCTGCTACAGGCGTGAAAAACATGAACATTACAGCCGAGACCGTGAATCAACACAAGATACCATAAGGAGACAATGCCTTGAGGATAAGTCCGAGAGTCTAAAAAGATCAAAGGAGTAATAAACAGCTAACAAAATAAAAAGGATATCTAGTGACTGAGGAATAGTAGAACCAAAAGCTCCAACTTGTCCTTAGGAGTTATTGTTTCTAAAAAATAATAATTTCATCATTAGGGTTTTGAAGACAACAAACTCTCAAATCCAAATCAATTCTAGATGGAGTACCACAAGATATAAAGCTGGAAACTAGTTCTTCTACATCAAAGAACATCAAAAGTAGTCATCTTAGTATTACATAATAATACATTTAATATTGTTTGTGTATTTGAATCTAGATAACTTCTATTTCCCGATTTGAAAACTGTGTTATTGCCATTTCAAGAAATACAACAATTACTTTGTGTTCTCCAATTTATTTGTGTATTATGCTTACATAAATGACTACAAAAATTCATTCAGAAGTTCAGCAAACTCAGGTTTTTTTACGAGTTTTTTTCCAATCCAAACTCACAAATTTCAACTATTTTGATAATGGAATGACAAATAGTGACGTGGATATAATGATTACAGACTGTCTATTAGGCTTTAAAAGTGACAACTATCTATGCAGTTTCCTTTGTAGGTCTTTCTGCTCGCTGAAGTTTCACATGTTTTACGATAATTCTCCAGAGACCCAACCCATTAGAAACATTCTCTTGCTCCAGTGTTTTCTTAACACCTAAGTGTTCAGACACTGCAAAGTTGTTGAAATAATGGAATGCTTCGGAAAGTAGAGCTATGGAAGTATAAACTATAGTCGTTATTTATATTCACTGGTATCTTCCTACTTCCAACACAATAAGTCCTCTTGTAAGCAA